TGATTTAAAGGCAGTGCATTCACCCGAACCGCGCATTGCCTCCATCTGTTCAGATTTTCAATATATGACAAAAACCGCACGCCCCCGAACGGGCGAATTAGAGGCATATGCTCGAGCTCGCATGCCTGAGCGGCACAGTCGACCCATGTTTTTTTAACCAGAAAGCACAATTGACTTCTTAATTCTGTCGAACACTGTCAATTTATGCTTTGCAGTTTATAGTCGCCAAGGTCTAAACGCGGTTTCGACCCATGTCGTGCGATTCCGTTATACCGTTCTTGTTCATCGAATGAGAAATTCCATGATATAATTGCACTACAATGATGCAAGAAAATGAAGCCCAGTCAAACATCCTATGTGCAAATACCTTGAACTCATACATATGGTATGGCCTTTGAAGAATTACCCTTTTCTCCTAAAATTGCATGAAGCTACGATTCAGGTTGGGGCTACTTGCCGGAAGGACATAAGCGTCTAGAAAACACGATAACAGAGCTGAGTAGGCCGCGGTAGTTGAAACCTTGTCCAATCGTTAGGGCCAATAAGGGCGCGGTATTTTGAGGCCGTCCCACCGTGGAACGCCAACTATGTCGTCGGAACCCATCTGACGGACAACAACGTCCGTCAGCAGGAACAGCCACCTGTCATTGTCTGCACTGTCGGGATGTTGCAAGAGGGCGACGGCCCGTCAGCAGAACAAGCATGGCGGCCTCCGGTATCGTGCAGCCCTTGCCGCAGCACTGGAAAAATTGGCTGTTCCCCGTTCCTCGAATTCTGTGATTCCTCTTCAATTATGGAAATTGAAGGTCGCTTGTTGGGCCTGGATGCTGACATAAAGGCACAGAATCGTTACCCATTCTCTGAAACTCAAGCAGTCCAACTATTTCGCCTCGAAATAACTGGGCTGTTTATGTAACAGTGTGCGACTGATATGATGGTTGCCAAGGTCACTACCGACCGTCGTTTTCGAAAGCGTGCGTGTAACACCAACAGCACAGGACTGGGGGTGGACCCTGGCTGTCTGCTGGCAAACGTCAGCGGGCGCCGAACACGTCCCAGGTACGACCAGCTCCATCTGCAGCCTCTCTCAGAACAAATGCGATATATCGCCGGCGTCATTGGATCCGATGGAAAGGATTAGCTATATCTGCGGCGGAGGGCGTCAATGGATCCGATGGAAAGGATTAGATATACCTGCAGCGGAGACCGACATGGGCGCCGCTCCTGTGGCCTAAGACAAAAAACTGAAATGTCAATCAGCATCATTCGGCACGAGTCCCAGAACAGGAATATTCTGGGATACATTATGGCTGTTGGCACGACCGACATCAGAAACGTCGGCTGGCAGTTGGTCAGAGCGTGGCAGCCTGGCCTGGCGAAGCCGTGTTGTATCACTCTACGGCACGAAACCCTCCGCAGTCACATCCGGCAAAAAGCCGGGGGAGGGATTATCCGGCGAAATGACTCGGTAAACTTGGCTGGTGGGCTTAATGTACACGCAACGAGTTCTGCTTGCTTTGTGCTTTAAAGTTTAAACTAAACGCCACCCACACAAATCATTCGGAGCGAGTTTGTGAGTTTCAGGGCCCAAACTTTTGTATTTACCATGCTATGGTCTAGGATTTGGCTTTCGGTCCCTCTGCTTCCGTCAATGACTCACGGAATAATACCTTGTTATAGGTCTCGGAAAGTAGAACCGTAAATTAACGAGAGATAGAAATTTAGCAAACAGTACGAAAATGTCGTTCAGTTCGTATACCCGACAATGTACGTCGCATCACGGGGAGTGCACTACAACGCTCAGAGGTGTGATGCTTTGAGCGCGGATGTCGACCTGTGTTGTGCGGAGTGTGTTGAGAAGCCGGCGTAGAAGTTTAACTGTTAGGAACAAATTTGCCGCTGCGCGAAGAAACAGAACGCGGTTTAATCACAAGTCGTGCATGACGCACATGCATATGCCTTTAGCTACCAGCATGCATGAGCGGAAACATAACATCTGTGTAATATCTTGCTTGTTGCAAACTAAATCACGTCTCACCGCAAGTAGCAGCATTTGACCACAAAATCATAGCTCAACCGCAAGGCTCGGGAAGGTATTCCGTTACATGCATAAAGGCTGGTGATTGCTGGCAGTGCAGCAACGTCAGGAGCCTCAGCGGTACACACGCTCACAAATGATGATGACCTCCCAGTAACGGCGTTGCATGCAGTAATGACTGCCGCAACAGACGTGCATGCTTGATGCGAGCGTTTCCCTAATTGTCATGCCGTTCCTCTGAGTACGAAAGGCGGGGCACAGGTTGAAGGTGGTCATAGGCTAGTGTCATCGGAACACAGACATGCTGGCACGGCCGTAAAAAGCCAGATATTTTACGGCCATGTTCATTGTCACTCACAATAGAGGATGGTTAGCGGTCACCACCGCCGGTCAATTCTCAACCAACCACAACCAGTGCTGAAATCCAGATTCACAGAGTCCTGAAACATGAAGGGACCAACGCCAGCCGAGCAACGCTAAGGAGCGGATGATAGTGCTTAGACGACGTGTGCCAGTGCATGGATATCAGAAGTCATGAGTTCAGAGTTCTTATGCTGAGCTGCGTCGATATTCAATGATTATAATAAAATAACTGAAAGGTAAGGTGTATATATATAATAACTATATACGTATAATAACTGCATAAAAGTATACAAATATATGCATATAACAACTATAACTATAACTATATATATATATATATATATATATATATATATATATATATATATATATATATATGCAAATGTCAGAAAGACGGCGGCATCGTTAATCACTGGTGTTCAAATCGCATGTAATTCTATGGCGATACAACGCACCAGCTATTTAAGGCAAGCCATATTTCGCCTCTTTCTATTAAGCTTCAAACATCCCCGATAGTCTTCAGGGCGCCCCGTCGCTGTGTTCTCATGGACGTAACAGCTCATTACCCTCTGGTGCAGCACGCCAGCGCCTCCACCGGCGCCCATGCGCCGCCGCCTTCAATGCCGCCCCGCGGGCGCCGCGCCCCTGAGGAACTATGCCGTGTCGGCGCGGCTTCACGGCGCCGCCGGCCTCGCGTACAAGGATCGATTAAGATATTGACAGACCGTTGTCTGTCGCTCGTTTCGTTTCGCACCGCGCGTCCTATGGCGCATTTTAGTGGGTACGTAAGCCCCACCGGCCGGTGGTCGGCAGTCAAACCTGACGCGGGGGCGCCGCGAACGGCCGCAGGTTTTGCGTATGACGTTCACGCCCCGGTGGAGGCCTGCTGCGGGCGCCGGCGGTACAGCCGGCTATAGCTATGACGCCGGAGGTACAGCCGGCTATAGCTATGACGCCAGCGGTACAGCCGGCTATGGCGATGACGACGGCGGTACAGCCGGCTGCGGTGATGTCCTCGGCGGTACAGCCGGCTGTGGTGATGGCGTCGACGGCACAGCTGGCTCTGGTGATGACGTCGGCGGTACAGCCGGCTGTGGTGATGACGCGCTTCACCGTCACTCCGCGGGGCGACAGAAAGACGGCTGTTGACACAGGTTGGTTGCTGATCTGTGATCTGACGACCAAAGATGCGGGAGCGTTTGGGCGGAGAGACCCTTGCTGTCACATTTTCGAAACGGATGTGTGGTGTGGACAATGCTAGCATGTGTGAATATGCAAACTGCAGTGATGAGCAAAAATCATGTTCATTCACACATGGTTAGTCGCCATGCGGCGCCCTCTTTGGGCATGCAAACTACAGCAGCATTGCTTTCACAAATGTCATGATGCCGCTATTCAGCCAGATGTGAGTTATTTATCCATATAGCAGGCGACGTCATGGCGTTTTGGAGGCGTGCCGACCGTGACGTCTTTACGACGCCTCTACCTCGCAAGGGGGGGGGGGCACCGTGCCGGTCTGTGAGCCGCACTACACGACCACGCTTCGTGTTGACCCGTCACGGACGGCGTGTCTTCCATCAGCCGGTGCAGGTGCCAGCACAGGACCCCACCGCGGGGACTGCAGACAGAAGCCCTGATAGTGGCGCGCGCCGGGCCGTCCCCGCCGAACCCGTGAAGCCCGTCCGAGCGCCGCCGCGAAGCCGAGTGAAGCGCGGACGGGTCTCCTCGTGAAGCCCGCCGAGCGGGGCTGCTAACGAGGCGCTCGGCCAACTGCCACTGACCCGTTCACAGGTCATGGATACCGGCTCTGCTTACCGGCTCCGCAACTGCGAAGCCATTGTTCGTAACTTTAACTTGGTGATCTGCTGAGCTGTTTTTTTTTGTAGACTGAGAGGATACACGTCGCACTGATATCAAGGGCTTCCCCACAGGGTTGGCGGGGAACAAAGCACCCATCTTGGCTGAATTGAATATTATGACGTGGGCATCGCGTGGAGAGAAACGCCTGCAAAGCCTAGCACGTCACTCAACGTTTGCTCAGTGGGAGGGCCTCTGGCACTTCGGTTGAACACGTTGATTAGGAATGCTGTCTCGACCGCTTTCACTATCACTGGCTCTAGACTTCGGGACGCTTGTGCAAATGGAATGGGGGTTTATACAATCAGAACATCCTCAGACATACATTCTGTTCAAAGCAACAATCGAAATCTGAGGGTCATCAAGCAGCCACTGGGCCTGCCGGCACCGACCACACTTCGAAACTTGCGGCGCTCGGCTGTTCTCCCCCTTCGAACGTTTCCACCTCCTGGCACGTGCTGCCTGGCTCTAAACACGTAAAGAAAATGTGTAATCACCGCATAGCTCATATGCACACCATTGCATGGCCTCCTCGCAAGGAGCATTGCGAGCGGTAATTGCCGCCTGTCACGATCATTGATGGGATCAAGCCCCGTCGGTTCCGACTGTGGCCGCCAGGGGCGCTGGCGTCGGACTCCGGAACCGCGGCATCGGTGCCCGGACTTCAATCGGCGCCGCGTGCATCGGACGGGAGGCGGGCGATCGGCGGCGCGCGGACGGCGTGGGAGCATGTGAGGTGGCGTGCCGGTCTGCAGCGCAGGTGTGAGGTGGCGGGCGAGTGTGCGGGCGCGCCCGGGCCGCGCGATCGGTCCGCTGATCAAGCGGCAAGTGGATACGATACAGTCGGAGCGGACGGGCCGCTGGGCAGGTGGTGTCTGCCTGTCAAGCCGGTGACGATGCGGCGGAAGAGCTGCGGGGAAAGCCGTGTATGGAGGCTGACGCACGCACTCCAGATAGCTGTGATTCTGTTGTCGGGGGTAACCCCCGGCCAAGGTAAGTCAAACGGTACCGTCCTGCGCTCGTGGCCATTCCAGAATACCCAAGGGTCAATGAAAGTGTCATCCTAACTTGGTGCCGGTGGCCGTTTTTGGCCAGCTTTTTCCGGTCAACGCTCATGGGTAGGTACAATATTGATTTTCAATGATGTTTTGGGCTCAGCCCCCCTTGCCCCCACTCTCACGCCCTCCACGTTCCCGCGCCCCGCCAGAATCCTTCGACCTTCCTGGGGATCATCGCCCTCAATATCATGGCTGCTCCCAGATTTAGCACTTGTTCTGGGCGGAATATTAGACACTTTTCACGGATTTGAGACACTGAGAGGCTTGCTCTAAAAAATCGAACTCAATGAATCGATAATTTTTGCTCTCAGACCTGAGTCACACACATTGCATGTCTGAAGCGAATTGAAGCATTGATCCTTATTGTTTCGTTGAAGTTTTGTTTAAGTTGTTTGTTGGAGGCCATCGCCAATGACTGGACCACTTCAGCAGCTGAACCCATCCACGGATTGATTGCGAACATCAGTGTGATGTTGTTTAATCGTGCATTCAGTTTGATAGGGATTTAGATGTGTGCATGGAGAAGTACACATAGGGGATGCATTTGACTTTGCATGCCTCCTTGTGTGTTATGCTTGTTTGGAAAACGCTGTATCGTGAATGGTTGACCGTGACTTCGAGTTGGATTGATGACATTGCGTCTAGTTGGTTTAATGTTCGTGTGGTACGTGATGAATCTGGGTTTGTTATCAACATGACATGCAGTTTTATGAATGCAATCCGAGTCCTAACGTATGCTAACGCGTTTCTAGATATAGCAGCTGAGTTACACTTCCTTTTTTATTTGAGCTGCAAGCTTTTTACCTTATTTTCATCAGCCTTGAAAACAACGTTCTGAATTTACCGTGCCTCTGTCCAGTCCAGAGCCTTCGGATGTCTGTCATCGCTACTTAACAACCTTACGACCGATCGTGCCTCTCTAAACCTGGTTTATGAGCGCGCCAACACGCATACATTCGGGAACTAAATTGGTTTTGACGTTCCCGTGGCATGACACTATTGCTATTGTTGCTGTTGCCTTGTGTTGAGCCCGTCTTCCTACCTCACTACCTGGCCAACGTGGCTCTCGCCAATGTCGCGATTGGTCATAAGTAAGCCCATGAACAGCCTCGAGCCAACCAGAGGCCAGTCGTGATATATGCCAGTACCATGAAGGATGACGATCTCCAAGACTCTCGTAAAAATCTCGACAGGTAGCCTCCAGCCCTGTAAAAGGTTATGGGCGCTATCAACTTAATGAACAGATGTGACATCTGCTGGATTCGTGAACCTTCGCGAGCTCTGTCAATGCAGTGGCGCGTCATGGCGTCTATTATTCTATGAACAGGAAGAGCAGCCGTGAGGTATGTCAGCCCAGTGCCCGATCCTGGTGCCCGCCAGCGTCCGTGGACGTGAATATCCGGGAGCGCTGCCAGCCCAACAATCGGCGGTAGCCCTTGTCAGTCCCGCCAGTGATCATGAGACCGGCGAACGCAGCGACTAGTCGTGATACCTGCCATCCCGTTGTGGGAGTGAACAGCTTCAGGTTTTTGCCAGTCAGGAGCCCAGTTCTGATATCCACAAGTCGGGAGGCCAGTTCTGATATCCACCAGCCAGGAGCCCAGTTCTGATATCCACCAGTCGGGAGGCCAGTTCTGATATCCACCAGTCAGGAGGCCAGTTCTGATATCCACCAGTCGGGAGGCCAGTTCTGATATCCACCAGTCAGGAGGCCAGTTCTGATATCCACCAGTCAGGAGGCCAGTTCTGATATCCACCAGTCAGGAGGCCAGTTCTGATATCCACCAGTCAGGAGGCCAGTTCTGATATCCACCAGTCAGGAGGCCAGTTCTGATATCCACCAGTCAGGAGGCCAGTTCTGATATCCACCAGTTAGGAGGCCAGTTCTGATATCCACCAGTCAGGAGGCCAGTTCTGATATCCACCAGTCGCGTGACTGGCGGTGATTGCTGAAGTTTTAAGCCAGCTTTGGTATCTCTAACGAGCTTAAACCAAAATGTCACCTTTTTGTAAAAGATGAAAGGTTGCTGTACCTTTCCCTACTGAGATGGGACCTTTCGTTTTACCATGATTGCTATTCACGATGTCATCAGGTGCAAGTTTCGGCCCTCACCATGGAGCATAACGTAACGGCTGAACTGAAAGCACAGAATTGGTAATATTTCATTTGTTTGTGATTTGTTGGGGTCAAAAGCTCGTTTTAAGGGATCTAGCTTTTCAACTGTTGTAAAATTACGCCAGAAAGGTTTTGGGTTAGACAAATCCCTTTCAATATGCCCGACTATTTCGACGCCTGCTTTGCGACAAGACCTTCTGTGGCTTCCGCGAGACGGATTTTACCAGTTGTAGTCCACGTATGGCTTCTGTTGGTCAGGTTGGTCGAGATGTGCGGCACCTAACCTTTCGAGCGGGACTGGTTGTCGTTTCGGAACCATCTTCGCTCAAAAACTGGCCGTCGAGGCCAGTTTACCTTTCAATCACTTCCATTCATATTTACGAGTTCCCATTTTCCTTTGCTGATGGCAATCTCCATCCACTTGGGCGGGACTGAGTGAAATGCGTCCACCACGTCAATAGTGCTGCGCTTGGCGGCGGTGAGGGGAGACTGTGACCTCAGGACCTCGGCGGTAAGGGAGCTTGTGACCTCAGGACCTCGACGGTGAAGGGAATTTGTAACCTCAGGACCTCGGCGGTAAGGGAGCTTGTAACCTCAGGACCTCGGCGGCGGCGGGAGCATGTGACCTCAGGACCTCGGCGGTAAGGGAGCTTGTGACCTCAGGACCTCGACGGTAAAGGGAGCATGTGACCTCAGGACCTCGACGGTGAAATGAGCTTGTAATATCAGGACCTCGGAGGTAAAGGGAGCTTGTGACTTCAGGACCTCGACGGTAAGGGAGCTTGTGACCTCAGGACCTCGACGGCGAAGGGAGCTTGTGACCTCAGGACCTCGACGGCGAAGGGAGCTTGTGGCCTCAGGACCTCGGCGGCGAGGGGAGCATGTGACCTCAGGACCTCGGCAGTAAGGGAGCTTGTGACCTCAGGACCTCGACGGTGAAGGGAGCTTGTGACCTCAGGACCTCGACGGTGAGGGGAGTTTGTGACCTCAGGACCCCGACAACGCCTCCGGAACATTTCAGTGTTCAAATACAAACAACTTAGTCTTGAAAAAGTACGCCATCAGCTGAGTCATAACGTTTTGTTAGTTAAGTTCGTTCGTTTGAACTTCTCGATGCTTTATGCGATGCGTGGGTTTGTACTGAAAGAAATATGCTTTCAGCTGACTATTTCTAAGTTGATAGTTCTTGTAATTTCGTTTGTTTCTCCAGAGGCTTTATAGAACATCGGAAACAGAGCGCATTTTGACTCCGTGACCTTGACCGCATGTGGGGCCCGGTCTCTGGCTATGACGTCGGCTCGGTCGGCCGTGACCGATGCGAGCACGCCTTGCTCTGTGAGGCGCACAGGCTCCACCCCTCAGTGGCAGTCAGTTAGGAGAACGGATGGATCGTCTGATCGCTGCCGTCAGCACGCCCCCGTTATCGGCGCTCGGACGATGACGTACGCGGCGAGCGGGCCCTCTGTGGGCGCTGACTGCAGTCTGCAAGCCGCCCAGTTGGTGATAGCACCTGTCCGTTGAGGCCATAACCAATCGGCAAGCCCTTCGTGATGTGTTGCCGTCAAGTGGGATCGAATCGCAAGGCATGGAATAAACCTCGCATTGACACTTGTCTCAGCTATCAGGCCACCACAAACGGACCTAGCCATTTGGTAGGCATATCTTACCGCTGTGGTGGAGTATTTCGCCACTATTGCTGCACACGTCCATTCCACCCCTTTGAGGGCGCTTGCTGCCTCCCGTTCGGCTGCTAACAATGGCGCAACCATAATCAAGTGTAAACGAAATGAAGTACTGTTCATCATATTGATATGAAGTCATCCGGTCGGCCCCTCTCGACTCTCGATAATGTTTTTACAGATGCGCCGCATAAAGATGACGACCCTAAATATGTCCGTTTGTTTGTTGGTTGTTTTGCGGCGCCTTGAACAGCTGGTGCATAACCAACATACAAACATTGCGCAAGGAAGTACGGTACCACGCAGCCAATAAGACTGTCAACAATGCCATAAAAATACATACGGCTGTGCAGAAAACGTTCGCATTAGCAGCCGCATATAAAGCAGATGAGTACGTCAGTGTTATCAAGGGGTGGGGGGGGGAAGAGGAAGGGGGCACGGCACATGTGACGTCTTACGGCCGCAGATAATTCAGTCCCCGAGAGTCTCAGAGCCAGGCAAGGCGGTGCGTCTGCCGGCGCCGGCTCGGCAGCGAGGTGCCGCCCCATCTCAGACAAGGCGGCTCGTCTGCCGGCGCCGGCTCGGCAGCGAGGTGCCGCCCCATCTCAGACAAGGCGGCGCGTCTGCCGGCGCCGGCTCGGCAGTGAGGTGCCGCCCCATCTCAGACAAGGCGGCGTGTCTGCCGGCGCCGGCTGGCAGCGAGGTGCCGCCCCATCTCCTCGTAGTACTTAACCAGCTGGTGCTTAATACATGTGTGCGCACTGGCGAAGCATCGGTAGGGTATCGGCTTCGGACAGCTATTCACAGCTGCATCGGTAGGGGATCGGCTGTGGACAGTTATTCACAGCTGCATCGGTAGGGGATCGGCTGTGGACAGTTATCCACAACTGCATCGGTAGGGGGTCGGCTGTATGCCGTTCTCCACAACTGCATCGGTATGGATCGGCTGCGTGCCGTTCTCCACAACTGCATCGGTCGGGATCGACCGTGAGCTGATCTCCACAGCTGCATCGGTATGGGTTGTGCCTGCTTCAATATGGAATAGGTGTGAGTATACTGTGCCGCAGACGTGGTGCTCGAGATATGATAAAATGGTGTCACCACAACGCGGATGCGGGCGAGCCACCAAAGAAAACCGCG